CCATCACCTCTGCTGTTTGTATCTTCAGCTGCACAATAAAGCTCACTCATATCAGAAGCTGCCTGCATCCTGGGTCCTTATTAAATTGCACATGGCTTGCCCCACGAGCTGTGACAGTTCATTAAAATGCAAGTTGATATGACCATTGATCAATGGCCATGTGTACCATTTACAGAGAGTTAGGGAATGGCTGCAGTCACATCATTGCAAGATGGTGAAAGATGTAGTCTACTGGTAAGATAGTCAACAAACTGATGGTCCACTCCTGCTCCCTGCAGCTTCCCTCTTAGCACTGCGGGTTGGATTGTGTTGAAGGCACTGGAGAAATAAAAGAACATGACTCTCACAGTGCACCCGGTGCTCTCCAGATAAGAAAAGGCCCAATGCCGCAGGTAGATGACAGCATCATCTACCCCAATGTTTGGCTGGTAGACAAACTGCAGTGGGTTTTGGTGTATCACTCCTGATGAATGGCATGGGGGGAGGAGGCAGTAGAGTCGTTGAAAGAAAAGGAAAAAGAGGGCAGGTGAGTTGCATCTGGTATCCCCGGTGCTATGGGGGGTTGCAGAGAGGTGTGAAGAGCTCTGGTGGATGGGGAGGGAAGGGCTTTCCTGGTCAATACAGTGTTATCCACACAGAAGCTGATATAGTCTGTTATGCAGGTTGTTAGGCTGGCTGGATGGGGGAGTGGCGTGTGCCTGGCGGCACTCTTGATGGAGAACAATGAAGACAAGATACTTAAAACAGATCGTGAGAGCAGCTGAGAAGATCATTGGAGCTCCTCATCCCTCCATCACGGATACTTATAGCACCTGTTCCATCGGCAAAGCCACCAGCATTGTGGAGGACCCCACACACAGTTTCTTCCCCCAAGCCGTCAGATTCCTGAACACTCAGTGACTGGAATGACACACACACTCGCACACCTCCATACTCATGACTACCAAGCACTTAACTGCAGTCTCTCACTCTCATACACACACACACACACACACACACACACACACACACACACACACACACACACACACACACAGGGAGAGAGAGAGACTAAGTTACTTTTGCACCATACTCAGCATTTTGCACATATCCATTGCATCTTGTGATTCTATCATCCTGTTCCATCTAGTGTTGCTGTGGACGGGCTGTGAGTACTCAGACTGCTACAGAACGCAACATGGAGGCCTGTTGACTTTTTCTTAAAAGTGGGTGAAATGACACTCTTCAGTTGACACAGGATACACACACACACACACACACACACACACACACACACACACACACACACACACACACACACACA